CCCCCCCACATTCTAATGCTGCTGTAAAGACTTGCCTTATGTGATGCCTCTTGATTGGATCTTCTTCTATCCGCTGGTTTTTCAGCAGTCCCTCCAACGCTGGTGCCGGTCTCTGATCCAGCACAGACTCCTCCTTTTTTTTTTCTTCCTGTCCCACAGTCTGTTCGGCGTGCGCGCTCACAACTGCGTGCATTCACTTCCACCAATCCCCGCCGGTGATGTAGACTCCGCATGCGTCCGCCCACATCATCCTCCTGCACGGCCGTTCGGAAGATGTGTTCTGCAGCCGGGAGCGAGCGGCGCAGACAGAGGTAAGTAATTGTCTATTTGACAATTTTGTTTTGTTTTTGCATATATCTTTTGCTTGCTAGCAGAGATATATATGGAAAAAAAATCCCAGAGACTTTAATTCTACTTTAATATTGTAGATGCACATTAACACCTCGTGGGTGGTGGCAGCTTAGATTAGTTAATTTGTGTGTGCGCGTTGTGTTTTACGGACGGCAATAGCCCGCACATCGTCTGGCCTTCCTGCGTTTCTGTACCCCCTTGGCACCCTCCTCCAGCACACTGTTCATGACACACATGATAACCGCAAAGCAAAGGAGCAGCTCCGTGTGCATGGGCCCTGAAGAGTACATCTCTGTATATCCGTGAAAAAAAAAAAAAAAGGAAACAAGAAAACCAAAATGAATCGTAAGATTGAAAGTTTATACGACAATAAAACCTAAAAACTTCCAATTATATGAATGTTTTTGCATCCTTGTACATCGGGTCCCGAAGGGATGTATAGAAGGTGTGCTGGGTTCCTGTGGGAATTGCAGAAGAGATCAAATCTTCTGCAGGAGCGGCTGCGGGAGATATTGTAACGGCACATGTTGCTGGTGATGGAAATTCGCATCCATCTTTGTTTGGGAGGGTTTCCATGGTGACTAATAAGCTGTCAGTCGTCTGCACAATGGGTGCCGTTTAGCTGCTGAACACAAGTTGTCTTTTAGTGTTGGAGGGCTGGGAAAGCCGGATGGCAGGTACAGTGTGTGATATGGAAAGCGGAGGAGAGATTTGAATGATTTGCAAATAAGCCTGGTCTGCTGTTGATCCTCTCTTGTGCAACACTGATATCGGAGAGCTGCTGATAATCCTCTGTATCCTCCTGTATATTACACCATCAGCTGCCATTCGGGGGCTCATGGTTATTTGGGGTGCTGTGACGCAGACGGATGGGATGGCTCCAGTAATTGTCCTCCTAGGGTGAGGAG